AAATCGGTCCGGTAGAAGTCTAGATTTAGTTGTACAAAGTTTAACAAAAATATATCTAATTCAGTATTTTCTCACCACTAAAAATTTGGAGATCACTTAAGCGGTGTTTACACTGTCGTGGGGCCACGGCTAAAGTCAGGCGTGTAGGTGAGAAATTTTCTCACTTTCTTGACAAGCGTGGCCACGCTTCGTGTAAACAGTGAAGACGTGGGAGCAACAGACGTGGCAACCCAATACGCCTGTTCCCCACGCCCTTTGGAACTAACCAAACCGTGTTTGGTTGCTACGCCTGTTGCAGGCGTGGCTAGACGTGGCGAGGAGTCATTGTCTTTCGTCTCGTCGTTGTGTGTACTACGAGTTTTAACTATTGTTCTTTAAAGTCAGTGGTTGTCGTCTTAGTTTTTACGACCATGACGAAAACAACAAAAAAGAGTATAACATTGACAAGTCGAATCAATTAAAACCGGTGAAAACAAAACAATCTTTAAAATTAACGGAAGTTCAAATAATTTGAATGCTTGAACTGTATCAAAGTGAACCTTGTTTATTTTATATAAATATTGAAAGCTACAGCTTGGATTCGTTGTTTTTTTAATAACACTTAAATGCCGTGCTATTTCATCAGCTAAAATAACACTCGTTGTAGCACAACCTTCAATAATTAATTTTTTGGCACAATCCATAACGCACCCGTAAATAAAAATGAACGTATTTAATGGATACGCTTTTAGGCTAGGATTATACTAGGACGCTGGCATCCGGGATGCTGGCGTCCGAGAGGCTAGCGTCCCACCTCGAGCCAAAAAATGATGCGATTTGTGTTGGGATGCTAGCCTCTCGTCTCGGACTGCCATTTTATTTAAATGTTTAGTCACTTTTTGTTTAGATCTATTTAAATAACATTATGTTTAACGAGTACCAAGGTTTGATGTTTTTAGGGGGCTAATAAAGTGTGTTTAGTTAAATACTGTATTATTAGCTTAGTATAAAACAAATTGGCCGAGTATAATCAAAATATATCCATACACAAGCAAATTCCAACACTTAACAACATTTTCTATAAGAATAACATGGCAATTTTTAATGTTTTTTTTTAATTTTCTCCATAACTAATAACAGTACAAAAACACGTAAATATACTAAATTATTTGTTTTTAAGCTCATTAAAATTGTCTAGAGAGAAATTGGGAATTTTTCAGTTTTATGGGTCAAAAATGACAGACCCCCTGTTATAGCACATAAAACCCCGTTCCCAAGGTCTTTTCATGCTGGTTCGCGAACTCATTCAAGTTTATCCCACCCTTCACCTTAAAACCAAATTTCTTCGAAATAGGACAAAAGTTACTCCAGTTATCGCGTTTACAGACATATATATAATATTTAAATCTATACGAACGGATGGTGTTTTTGGCCTGTGGGGACATCAAAATGAAAATGTAAATCGGTCCCGGGCCTAGGTCTTACCACCGTAGGTATGCCGGGCGTAGGTATGCCACCTACGGTAATAGCTTCGAGCGTCCGGTGGCTTTTTTTAGCATCCGACGCCTAGCATCCATAGTATAATCGCCCCCATTTGATTTAATGCCCCGCTAGCGTCCCGGACGCTGGCCTCTCGGACGCCAGCGTCCTAGTATAATCCTAGCCTTACCAGAAAACTGTTTACACTACACGGCTGATTGTGGCCGTATGACGGTACCGTGGCGCCACGGCAATTGCGTACGGCTGTCCATTGGCGTGGCGAACACGCCTGCTACGGACGTGGCCCCACGACAGTGTAAACACCGCTTTAGCTTATTGCCAATAACTTTTAAATGGAGGGGAAATCGACCAAAGTGAATGTAATATTCTGAAAGAGAATAAAATTTACTACAAACAAATACTATGCATTTCTTGAAAATACTTAATAAAGGCAGCCAAAATCTGGCTACAAATAGAAACTTGAAAACAGAAACTTGAAAAAAGCAGTTTTTAATGTATTTTTGTTACTTTTACTTTTTCCCCACAAATATTTAATAAAATCAAACATTTTTAAAACTGAATTATACATAGAATAGATAGTGTTTTCTACAAATAGCCGCATTACATTTCCAGGTACAATATGTGTCCAAATGCCTAACAGCAGCTCTTCCCCATACCGCCCTGAGCGATAGGGATCCTTGAGATTCGCTCTAACCTTTCCTCTCCCCTTCATGGGCAACTTTTCATTCCTTTTCTTTCTTAGTTTTTGTTTGTTCCTTTTTTTAATTTTAACACCTGTATGTATTCCTGGTTTTAGCCTACCGGTACCTATTTCCCTAGCTACTTCACTAAACGTCTCAATTGTTTCCTTGTCACTCATCATGTTTTATTTTCTCTATTTCTCCACATCTACATACAGTACTTCCCCTTCCAACATGTGAAATCTTCACAAATTCGCCTTGAAATTTTCCATGTCCTGTTACAAACTGCGTTTTATAATGGCCCATCTCCCAATCTTGTTCCAGTCTCTTTCTGATGTTAGGTATATATCCGAACGTTTACTTTTAAAACGTTTACATAAAACACTCTGCTTCCAACGCATTTGCCACTCATCTAATATCGCCTCTCTTCTGTTTCCGATGTAGTCCTACCCTCCTCCTTGTCTTCCAAAATCAACAGCTTATGCAGCGATTATCCATCAGTCCTAAATTTAATGTGAAATCTTCAGGCGGCTGTAGGAGAGCACACTTAACCCAACACGGAAGGGGGCTTGCTGTATTCGGCTATCAACGACAAAAGAATTATTTGTATTTCGTTCGCGTCTACCAGTTTTTAAGTTTGTCGGTCTCCTCCTGTTGGCCTTCTTGGTCAATGTCTCATAGTCTCCATTATGTCGAACGTATTTTTGGTTATTTGGTTTTTGGTTGTTTGGTTAGCTGTTTCAAATATTAGTGTCAATTTCAAAGTACTGTATTCGTCTGTTAAAATTTAAACACACATTTTCTCCCTAAGAATAACATGGGAACTTTGAAGGCCACTGGGGCAGAGCCCTGATGGAATTCCAAAGTTATTTTGTTTGATGGCAAAACTACATGCTAAGACCTTTCTAACGACACCTTGCACATGGTGATCGGTAACACCACCACTCCAAAAAAATTATGACAAAAATATGCCCTAGCGTATTAAATATATAGATACAACTGTAAATCCAAAATTTATCCTTTAATTCAATGATTTTTTTAAAGCTATAGACTATGGCAAGCAATAAAATGCATAAACATCCGCTTGTAATTTAGTTGCACATTCTTTGTAATGTAATAACATATTTGATGTAATATAATTATAATTAAATCATGCCAGAAACTCAGTATCTAAATCCCGTAAACTGATGCCTAGCCGGCTGAGCTCATAGTGCCAAAGCCGCGCCTAGCAATTTTATGCCTATTTTTAATTGCTAAAAAATGATGCAAGCATACTCCGTATAAAAAAAGCTTCAAATAATAAATAAATTCATACTTTAATCTAAAACTTTGTCGGAGGAATTTTTTTCCTGACGAAAAAATAAAAAAGTTTGTGGCTACTACATTTTTCCTTGTTTTTAGTGGTGTTAAAAAATGATCATCAGTTTTAATTTGCCTAAATAAATTATAAAAATTATGTTAAGGTTAAAACTAACTACACTAACTACTATAGTAATAAGAACTAGTCTTCCCAGAAAAATAACATATCAATTTGAAACTTTTATGGTTACAAATAAGTGTAGCAGAGCAGGTTGAGTGAATGTATGTTTGTGTAAAACAGAGAGGCTCATTCAGCCCGACCGACTCAGAATCCCACCAATTCGAATGGTGGGCACGGACCGTTTTTCCACCACCCAGCGCGTTATTCAGTAGAGTTATTATACATTGATGGTTTTGCAGTAACGGCGACATCGGTAATCGTCTCACGCAAACGATGCTACACCGAAGAATTGGCCTATCGTTTAACAAAACATGCTCCCCGTTATTGCCCCAGACAGGATGTAGTAAATGGTCAGACACTAGTTCGGATATCTCAAAGAGTTGGTTTATGCGAGGTCAAATATGAGGGGTTCTACTGTACCTACTTCTGAACTTACATTGCAAACATCAAACTTAAGACACGTATTAAAATCCCTCACAATGAAAGCTGCAAGATATGCAAGGTAGTCTAGAAAAAAAAAAATAATAGGCTCCATTAGGCTGTTAGAAGCTGTCGTTACCGTCTTGCAAAAAAATATATATATATATATATAAAACTCAATAAAACAAAAATCCCAAGAAGATGAGAAACATAATATGACAATAATAGGTTTTTTACCTACCGTACCTCAGTCAAATAGTCCAATAAAACATGCTTTATTGGACTATTTGACTGAGGTATGTAAAAAAGTGGTCTAAACTGTTTTCCTTAAATGAAGATAACCAGTGAACCACTAAATAGTCACTGGAAAAAACCCTTAAAATATCTCAAAGATCAGCTGAGAAAAAAGTCCCATCTCTAATTATTGTTGTTACAACAAGTTTATAGTCCATCTTAGAGAGGAAGTAATGAAATATGAACAAGCAAACCATTACCCTACCAATACCACGCATGTCTGTTCCTCTTAATTACACAAGTAATCACCTAAAATTCAAATTAATACCAGACCGAAGAAAATAAAGCAGTTATTTGTATTCACTAAAATGTAAATTTCTAAATTACTGATATTGACTGGTCTGAGCAATCTTGTGCAATTCAAAACTAATTTAAATATTTTTATTATGGTTAAACTGGATCCGCACAACAGGATGTTAAGGATCTTCCAAAAGATTGGAATAAAATTACTTTATTCTGTTGATTAATGATTGGTGGGAACAATGATGTGTAAAACCCAGAGTTTGACGAGGGTCTTTGATAAACTTGACTTACCACGTATTACAGTAGGCTACTTACTACCCCCTTTTTTTAAGTGTTGGGTGAATTGATAACATTTTACAGTATTTTTTCTAGCAAATTATTAACAAAGTACAATAATTTTTCAGGTGATTATGAGACTGTAGTTGGATATCCAATTGATTATCAACGCTTTAACTTTTCGTCACTCGAAGAGTTTTTAAGGAGTTTGCCATCATTAAGAGTATGTGGGACAGGAGGGAGAGCGATGGTTGAAGCTGCGACCAAAAATGATTCAAAACATGTGTCAGATTTAATATCGAAACAAAAACCCTCCAAAAAGGTAAACATACAATTATCCTAGTTTCATTTTCTCTTAATTTTTTAGTTTCTATTGTCTAATTTGATGCTTTTATGGTAGGGCCTATAGTAAAACTCCAATTATCCGATTCACAGATTATTTTAGTCACTTACACAGAATTAATTTTATAAACCCTAAACCCCAGAAATAAGAATCGTTATTACCAACACGATTTCTTAGAGTGGAAGGATAATGAAAAGCAAGACCGAAAATAAAATGGAAAGACAATGTGGAAGCAGCTCTGCTAGAAAGGGGAGTCTCTCTTAGAGAGGCTAAATTCAAATCATAAACATCTTAAAAAGTACTAAGCTCTCCTCACATTTTATTACCCTCCTTATTACACTACACACTTTATTACACTTATTACCAAGGTTTGTAGAAGCCTCTTTAAACCTGACGTTATTGTTATTTGTAGATGTGCAATTAGAAGTTGAGGGTAGTTTGATAGATGATCCAGGGGTCATGGCATCTTGCTTCAATAATCACTTTACAAACACAGTTGATATTTTAAATGTCCCGGCCCCGTCTTTCACAGACATCAAATCCCCACTAGCTTTGTCATTTCCAGTTTTGATGGACCTTCTTTAATTGTGTACAATTATTTTACTATTTGTAATTCAAATGTGAAAAATAATTATAGGCCTAATGATAATTATTATTATAGTTTTATTTTCATTCCACTGTGGTATTGCTCTCCGCAGCTATTGCCTACTCAAGCCAAAACCAAATACCCGAAATAAGGTCAAATGATCTTTCAAGAAGCTAAAACCATTGATTTTGGATACGATAAAGACCTTACAGAATGATTTCCCCAAATGGCTCTGCTTATATTGTTCCCCATCACCATTCATCCATTTTGAGCAGGCCACCTGAGTGCAAACGATGCTTACAGACAAGTGGTTTCTTGTAGTTATATGACAACCGAACCAATTTTTTTGTTGTTCAATTTTGTATGAATTTTTGTTGAATTTGTAATTTGGCTCGGCAACAAACAAATTTGTGAGATAGAGAAACTTGTGGTCTCCCTTTTTTTCAATATATGGTTTTATTTTTCAGCCCCCTTTTCGAGGAGGTTCCTTCTACGCTCCGCCCCCTCCTCGGGGACGAGGTGGGAGAGGAAGGGGGAGGGGTGGCTATTATGTTTCGACGAGAGGACACTTCAGGACAAACAGCAACTACTTGCCAAGAGACACCTATAGAGAGAGGCCACCTCGAGAGTCAATTGGAGAAAACTGGGACTCAAGTAACCAGGACTCTCCAAAAAAAAATTCCCCTCCACCTCCTGTAAATTTTACAGTAAAGGTAGATGGGGATTATAGAAAGGTAAACTGATACATCATCTAAATTAAGATCTTGTTGTTTTCAGAGTAAGTTTTGGAGTCTTTATTTGTTAAGGAATAATCAGTGAATGATTTTGCTTATAGATTTTTTTTAGTGTACAGTAAATCTTTTCTTATCCGGCACTCCAGTAATCTGACGTCTTTTGACAGGTGTGTGACATACTTTTCCACTCTGAAACATATAACACTAGTTTACATGCCAGGTTTAAGTACCACGTGCTATACAGCACATTTAGTTTCCGGATAGGCCTCAGTACGGAGATTTGGGTTGGCCTTCCAGGGTTCGCGTCAAGATGTTACTTTCACGCTCAGCTGTGCCGTCGCCTTGGCTGAGGTTTACCGCGTCAGAGATCTCGAGCATCTGGTTCATCACACAGATGTCGCCGTGGTCCGGAATAATCCTCACGGACCGGTTACTGCCCCTTCCACCGCAGTGAGACGTCTTCCGTGTTCAGCACACGACATCCAGCCAGGCACTTGGGTTCTGCACACCAAGTATGGGTTGACTCCGTCTGCCGTTGTAGCCTGGGGTCCACTGTCGCCCTCCTGTCGTCACAGCCCCAGGCTGAGGCTCATTCCGCCCCCCCACTCGTCGTAGTAGGCTGGGGCTCATCCGGCCTCACCTGGCCGTCGTTGCAGGCTCTGTTGTGACCACCGTCGATGCTACTGCAGAGTCGAGTCATACTTCCCATCCGTCGCCGCTGTCGTCTGGGCATCTGGTTTCTCACACAGATCCCTGTTGGTGCTGTCGTCTGGGAACCCGGCTCATCCCACGGACCCCTGTCTCTGCCGTCGAATAGGTATCCTGCTCGTTGCAGGAATACCTTTCGTTGCCGTTGTTTGTTCGGGCGCCATAAATGTGACGTACTACGTGGGGCTTGAGACTATCGTATGGGAATCCGGCTCATCGCACGGACCCCTGTCTCTGCCGTCGTCTAGGAATCCTGCACGTTGCAGGGATACCTGTCGTCTCAGTCGTAGGTGTGTCCTCCTCGTTGCAGGAACACTAGTCGCTGGTGTCGTATCGTGGGAATCCGGCTCATCGCACGGACCCCTGTCGTTCTCGTCGTCGTATGGGAATCCGGCTCACCGCACGGACCCCTGTCACTGCCCCTTCCACCGCAGTGAGACGTGATGACCTTCCATTGGCTGAGGTGCGTTCCACCCCCCCACTCGTCGTCGTAAGCTGGGGCTCTGCCATCCTCACCTGGTCTTCACCGCCGCCTGGGTTTTCCTGCCCGCGCGCCCTATATCGGTACTACAGCCGGGGAGCCTACTCGTACGTTTTCGTCGCTGACGTCCTGAGTGTCCGGTTTCTCACACGGACATGTGTCACTGCCCCGTCCGCCGCAGTGAGCTGCGTGGTGGCCGTCCGTTCGTAGTTGTTGAGTGCCACCCCCGATGCGAGCTACTTGCGCCCCTCGCATGTAGTCCTCGGGGATCCGGTTTATCACACATTCCCGTGTCACTGCCCCGTCCGCCGCAGTGAGTCCCGTGGTGGCCGTCCGTTCGTAGTTGTCGTTTGCCACCCCCGATGCGGATGGTCCTTGGATTTACACCACGCCAAGATCCACCGCAACGGTTCAACACTTGTTGGGTACACGTTGACCAAGCCCCGGTTGTCTCGCTGACCGTTGTTCTCCGTTGCAATGATTGGTTTATCACGCAACCACTGCCGCTGGATAATCAATCGAAGAACATCAAAGCTGGCCAACAGCGTGATGTGAGTTCCTCTGGTTGGTTTATCACACAACCCCAGCCGTTCGAGAATCGTAGTAGGCTAGCTGACTGCTCTACGTCAATCTTCTGTCCGCTAAAGAGTTGCTGGTTCCAGTGTCGTGAGTTGGTCGTCACTCCAGGTAGGTTTAACACGCTACCACAGCTGCTGAAGCGTCGTTGAGTACCATGGTCGTCACCAAAGGTAGGTTCAACACACTACCACAGCTGCCGAAGACACGTTGGGTCCACGCCGCCTCGCCAGTCCCAGACGTCAAATGGTTCCACACCATAGGCCAACGCTATTTAATTTGCACCAAAACAATCTCATCACCTGTCGTAAACTCATAACACAAAATATTAGAACACATATTAATCATTAAACATGAAATAAAATTCAACGGATAGTCACGGATTATCTCACATGACACTAACCAAACATCGTTAAACAGAGATTATATCACTAGACAGACCGAATATAAAATGCCTTGTTACTTAAAACGAAAATACAAACAAGTAACCAAGGCCGAACGAACTATCCACTTCTGGTTTGCATCAATCTCAAAGGCTTTATGGCAAACAGTTAAAACCATAAAACATCGTAAACAGGCCTAAGGTCACTACTACCAACACGCCATGCGTGCCGATAGGGACATGCTAAACTAGCACAACTAATCTTAGTAGTCACTGACTACTACTAATCAATTCGTATAATGAGATTAATTTGTTTTGGGCTTACTAAAAATGGATTAAAAACTACACTGGCCTCGTAATATTTATTCGTTACGTTATGGGTTTAACACACCATATGTCATAATCAAGTCAACTTGGCCTAAGTCCATTGGTTTAACAGGAGTGAAAATATAAAACCTAGTAAAACAGATTTTAAAAACTAGTATTTTACACCCTGGCAATAGTTAACTCGGTTTACCTTATATATAATGAAATATGACTTACAATGTATATTGAAGTGTCACACGAGCTAACTATTACTTCACCAATTGTAGCGGGGGGCCGTTTGCTGAGGGGGCGCGGGGTTAAGGTATGGGATGGAGGAGGGAAATTCGGGTAATCAGGAGGGAATAAACAGGGTAATGCTAATAGGTTAGGAAAAGGTGTGTCTGGACCAAACTTAATTTCAGCGTGCTGAATCTGCTACCAATACAATTAGGAAGATTGCTGGGGACCAGAGGGACGGACCTTTTACCCAGATCAGAACACTTGCCTAGCCAGCTTTGATTTGAACTAATGGAACTAACTATTTAAATATAAACCTATCCTTCCACTATGAACTGAACTTGGGTAATTACTTACTAATTATTGATGAGCAAATGAGTGATATGTAATTGAATACTGAATGAGAAATAAGTATGAATTGATTTAAACTATTAAGTTACATTCTGGGAACATGTGGATTAGTATTCATGTTTCGAACGGTTGGTGGCAGAGTGCCACCAACCGGCTAAGTTGTCAATTCCTACATTTCCATAGTCGGGTGAGCCAGAAGGGCTCCCCGCTAGTTACCTGACTTAGCCAGACATTTTCCCTACTTAATTTCTACATATTAAATGTTATAACTTATCCCAAACATCGAAGACAAGTCGTGGAACTTTTCCGAGAGGTTCTCTGTCCAGATGCCGGTTCTCGAAGAAAGAGGACAAGACTAGGAAAGGTGGGGATAGAGCATTGATGCAGTCGCGGCAGGCAACGAGATGAACATGCAGCCCGGCTTCGCGAACTGCACACACTATAAAAAATATAGCGTGCCGCTATGCGTCACAACCACCCCCCTTACGACGAAAGAAAAGAAAAGAACAGAACAGTTTTTTTGAAGGTTGGTGAAAGGGTTTGGTTTGGTGTGTTTTTTTTTTTTTTTTTTGTGGGGAAGTTTGTCGTTCGGTTTGCTTCCAGATGTGGAAGGTTCTGACCAGCCTGGCTGTAATAGGCACCTCGGACCACCGGACTTTCCCGAACCAACCACGGCAGAGAGCGGGATCTTCATGATCCTATTTCATGATTGATCGGTATGCGGGAAACTTGTAGAGTTGTTAATTGAGTTTTGCTTTTTCATTTGATTTATTTATTACTTTTTTTTTTGGTTGCTTTGATTGTGCAGTTGTCTGGTTTCTATTAAATAATGCTGGGGGAAATGAATATTTAATCAGATCGCAGATGATCGTAAAAAAAATTATTTTCAAGGTGACTGTCGTTGTGGAAATGAAGAAGGGTTGGTCGCAAGGTGGAGGTCCGATCACTGACGGGTTGGCTCGGACTCAAAAGGTGAACCATGGGTTCGTTGGGGCCGAGCTACTCAAAACCAGACTGATGGAACTCGCGGGTACCGTTTTGGGGTCTGTGTGTTGAAGGAGTTTGGAAGGATAGTAAACTGTTCTTGTTAAAACCCTTTTTTTTTTTTTTATAAAGAACGTTTCGCATGCAAATTATTACGCATGCAGAAAATTGCGCGTCGGTAAGCGCTAGAAAAAGGTGGGAATAGGTATTCTTGGGATTCTGGAGATTGTTTCCTTATCAAGTATTTCCCTTGAGAGGCAAGATTTCCGGTTCGTTTGTTTTTTTGTAAAAAATAAAAGTACTGAGTTTCTTAACTAAACTGGTAACTATTTCTCCCCTAAATCTAACTAACTCTACCTTAGTGACTAATTAAGCTAAGAAGTAAGAAAAGAAAATAAGGGAGGTAAAGGAAAGAATAGAAAGAGAGTTTGTCTCTAAACACTCGACTAGCTAGGTCGCCACAGAAGGTGCCATCACTGAGTCCTTTCCTACGGGGGTAAAAATAAGCAAAATAAAAAATAAAATTAAATCTCCCGTGGAAAGTAATCACAAAAAACGTGATTCAATAAAAAAAATTCTTTACTGAACTCAGTGAGGGTGCGAGAGACGAAGAGGGAGGGGTAAAAGATTTGGCCGACAACGCACGGAGGAAGACGTGTAGGGCAGCCCATCCTAAGGAAGGATACCCGAGACTCACTTTCCCCCGGGCGTTGGCGGGGACAGCGACAGATTGAGAAGACTTAACCTAATATCACTTTAGCAGAGTGTTCTGATCTGGGTAAAGAGATTGATCTTGTTGTTTCTTTAAAATTGTGGCTGAAAAAATCGTTTCAGATGTGACACGTGTGCATTTCTAATGAATTTTCCTGTTGATGGATTTACCAAACGTGCAGTGACTGGGGACGAAAATGCTTCAATGACGCAAGGTTTGGACCAGACAGGGAGCAATTTTTGGTTGATGGCATCGGCAGCTCT